AGGGGACTTTGATTTGGCCATTGTGACACATGAAGGAAGTGGCCCCCCACTATGACGTCCCCTCTCCTGTTACCCTGAATCTAAGGCAGAATACTCTTATGTTTCAGGCATGCTTAACACAGGGCTGTAAACAGCAACAGTGATTGTACAAATAAAGGTTTGCCTCGCTATTCTGGACCCCCGCCTAGGCTCCTGTTCAGGAGGATATTGAAATAATAAAGTTTTCTGGCAGGGCTTCATTAGGACAATATGGATGTGTGGAACTGGTGTAGGCCTAGACAGTGACCAGGTCACTCCCACACTGTGATTACTCTTCCCCAAGCTCCGGGCCCATCATTGGAAGGATTCAACCTAATTAGTTTATGTCCCATTAGATTAGGAACCAGAGACTCTTCTCACACTGGCTTATTCACATCTAAGACTCAAACTGAGATTTGGAAATGTAACTATAGTTGTTTCAACTGCTTTATCTTATTTAGGAAATAGTTTAGTAAATAAAAACATTGTTCTATTCCGATTTCTCAGGCTAGTCAGACCACCTGAGTTTGAATCCCAGTCTCATCATCTTAATTCTGTGACTTGAGGAATGTTACGTATGTTCTCTGGCTATAACATGCTTGCACGGTTACTCTGCCATTTCCCTCCATCGTGCTCAGGCTTGGGTAGCTCTGACAGATATTCTATTTGTTGCAATATGGTATGGGTGACTTTCACTTTCTTTCCTCCATACCTGAGTCCTGATTGGTTTCCACTCTTAATTTTTATTTGATTACAGAGTATTTTATCTTCTGTTTACTTTTCTGTACCTCAGAGAAATGGTGAAGGAGAGATAAGCTCTGTTGAGGTAAGATACAAGCTGCATTAGAAAGCTTGAGTCATGCTCTCCTTGCTCAGTGTTTGTTTTAGTGGAGAATTATATGTCATTTCCATAGGGATGTAGCCCCAGGCATCGGGTAGTCTCCCATCTTAGTGAGTAGTCCTGGAACTTTTACTTTCATTAGAATCAGCTCCATAGTGTACTTCCCCCATATCACCAGCCTTTCTTGTAGCTATATCTAGTAATGTACAGTGAAAATAACAGAAATCTTTTACATTGCTATCATTAGGCAAAGCTGTTGAGAGAAATTTTATGCCATAGCTCTTCATGAATTAGGGGGAAATAAATAAAACTTAAAACATATTTTCAATGATCTCCCACGTGTTTTCCACATTTCTACTCATCCTCTTCTTACCTCCTATATGCTGCCATGTAGTTAATATTATTTATGTTTTTCAGAATGACTACCGGACTTGGCTAAAGTCTGCACATCTTCACTGACCCAAACCCACCCTGAGAACAAATTGGGTATTCTTTATGTTTTGTCTTTAAAGGACCGGGAGGGGGAGGATGGGGGGGAGGGG